GCTGTGACATCTTCAAGGACCAACTCACTGTCACCTCCAATCTCATCTGCAACATATGTAATAAAAAGTAAGATATATGTATCTTCACATTAATTTTCTTTTGTAAAAATAACAAAAAGCAATTATGCACTTGAATGTGTTCTTTGTTTACAATATGGGAACACGTTCATAATTCAGAAGGCATTTGCAAGAGACTGATGACCGTAAATCTAGGCCGACCGACTTTACAAAGCTAAACGGGGTCGCTTTGAAGAAAGTATGACGGCCTGAAAACCTCGCTCGACAATCTTTCCATTTTCACGAGTAATGTCTCATCTTTAAAAGTATTTTAAGTCACAGATTGATATATTTTGGTATAGATTTACAAAAGACATAATGAAATTGCACTATTCACTTTCCCCTTCCACGAGAAGGGTTTGGAAAGGAGAGGTGGACTTAGCGATGTAGGGGACGCATAGATTGTGAATACATGTGACCTTGGCGCGACGAAAATAATTGTCAGCTATTTAATGAATGCAGCGACTGAATGTTCAGAGGATGGTACACATGAAAATATAATTTGTCAATATTATATCATTACTATTAAAGAGTAAAAGCCATTTTTCTGTGTTTAAAAACAATTCTGATAGCAATTTCGAGTCTAAACTCTCGCGTACAACTTTCTTTATGCCATCATGTATAAAATTTAATGGGTATTTACATTATATTGTCCATATAATTTGACATTAATATATTACTAAATAATATAATGAAACATACCCGGTAGTCTAGCCTTCACACATTTAGGTATTGGTAGCCCTTGACCCGGACCAAAGGCCTCTTCTGCCAAACGGTTGAGAACCGGAGCTAATTCGGTGTAGAAGAGTATCTCTCGTGTATCGAACTGGGCCTCAGCGACAAAGAGCCTTCCGAAAGGGTCCCGTGGTGGTAACTTCACGACTAGAGGCAGGGCTTCGCGTTCTCCGTTGCTCTCGTAGCGTACGGTTACCGCGAGTACCCTGCTCAGGGCACCGGCGACTCCCGCACGGGATTCCACTCGTACCTGAGATTTTAGATGTATTTCGTTAGCTAGTTATACTAACTTTGTTAATGAAGCGCCATAAAGTAAAATTAAAATGAAACAGTGCTTAATTCAAAATTGTATGTTTGATGTAAATATGTAATTAATTATTTTAAGTCCCTTGAATACAAATTAAAACACGAATACCGGTGTCATTAGACGGTTTCAATTGGCTTAGTCATTCAACCAATTTATTGCAGGAACTACTTAATCAATTAAAACACTTACTAGATGTGGTATTCTTACATATTTAGTTTTTTTTTTAGATAAAAATATCTCCCATAAAAAATTTAATTTTAAAAATGTAATCATAAAAAAGGTAAAAAAATACCTCTTGTGGCGCGACCACGCCCGCAGCGGACAGTAACTCCCTGGCCCACTCTTCGGTGAGCGCGGTGTC